GGTATCAAATCTTTGATCAGAAACCGTTATCATGGCCAGGTGTGGTGGCTTACACCTGTGCTCCCAACACTTTGGGAGGCTGAGGTGGGTAGATCACTTGAGGTTAGGAGCTCGAGATCAGCCTGGCCAACGTGATAAAGCCCTGTCTCAACTAAACATACAAAAGAAAAAAATTAGCGAGGCATGGTCCCAACTACTCAGAAGGCTGAGGCAGGAGAACTGCTTGAACTGGGGAGGCAGAGGTTGCAATGATCTGAGATCCCACCACTACACTCCAGCCTAGGAGACAGAGTGAAACTGTCTCAAACAAACAAACAAAATGAAACAAAGAAAATAAAAGAAAAAAACCACTATTAAAACAATTTCTATGGGCAAAATTGAATTTTCATTTTTTTCTTATACCTTTCCAATAATTATAAAAATATACCATATGTACAACCATGTACTGTTATTTAATTTTTACAAGGTAGAAAATCTTATTCATGCACTTCTATTAAATGTTGCACATATTTAATGAGCATATAAATGAGTATGATTTATCATCTGCCTTCAAAGAACTAGCAACTTAGCAGGGACAGAAGACAAGAAACTAACCATATATGCCATCATAAAATAATAAAAAGATCATACAAAAGGCATAAACAAAGACATATGGGCATTTCAAAGAAGGCTCACATCCATGGGCTCAGAAAAGGCTACATGAAGAAAAGGACATTAGAATGAATCTTAAGAGGGGCCAAGTATGGTGGCTCACACCTATAATCCCAACACTTTGGGAGGCCAAGGTGGGCAGATCACTTGAGGTCAGGAGTTCGAGGTCAGCCTGGCCAAAATGGTGAAACCTCATCTCTACTAAAAATACAAAAATTAGCCAGGCATGGTGGTGGGCGCCTGTAATCCCAGCTACTCAGGAGGCTGAGGCAGGAGAATTGCTTGAACCCAGAAGGCAGAGGTTGCAGTGAGTCGAGATCACGCCACTGTGCTCCAGCCTGGGCAACAGAGCCAGACTCCATCTCAAAAAAAAAAAAAAAAAAAAAAAAAAGAATCTTAAGAGGATAAGTAGTAGTCCCACTGTTAAGATGAGGGGAAAAAGAGTGTTTTAGGCAAAGAAAACAACATAACAAGAAGTCCCAAGGTGGAAGGGGATGACACGTATTAAGGAAATATTATGTAATCAACTTAACCAGAGTATAGGGAAATAATAGCAAAACATAAAAAAAAAGTATGTTGTCATACTCTTGTCAGTGGTGACCTAAACAAACTTGCTAAAATATGACAAACTTGCTAAAATATAAACAAACTTGCTGAAATATAACTTTTTCTACCACATAAATGTGAGAAAAGGCAGGAGGAGGCACTTCCAGGATGGTGGAGTGAGGACCTCCAAAGATTTACACCTCCATGAAAGCAAGGAAAACACACACACACACACACACACAAAATGGTCAAAATCCACTTTTTCAGAACTCTGAAAGTTAACCAAAGGCAAATAATCCAAGGAATGTTTATACAAGAAAAATGGATAACTCTCAGTAAACAGAATGAGTTGTGACATTTTAATTTGCCCCATTCTTCTCTCCCCTTCTCTGAGGAAGACTTAAAAATTAACACCCTCGCAAACATGGTAGCTATGAACATCACCAGCCCAGTAGCCACTTAAGGGGGCAGAACAGATTAGGAGCTACCCACAAAACAGCATCCTCAACGAACGTTCACCATTTAACCTAAGAGCTCCCTGGAAAAGCTCCATTCTCAGGGATTATTTGTATTTGACCTGAATTACAATTCCCTGAATGTGAACAGTTCTATCCCCAGGGAATTAGTTAAAAATAATTAGAGACAATTGTTTAATGTCACAACTACCCACCGTAGTAATAATAGTTGGGAAAAACAAGACACTGATTTAAAAAAAAAATACTGGCCAGGTGCGGTGGCTCATGCCTGTAATCCCAGCACTTTAGGAGCCCAAGGAGGGTGGATCAGGAGACCAGGAGTTCGAGACCAGCCTGGTCAACATGGTGAAACCCTGTCTCTACTAAAAATACAAAAATTAGCTGGGTGTGATGGTGTGTGCCTGTAACCCCAGCTGCTCAGGAAGCTGAGGCAGAAGAATCACTTGAAACTTGGAGGTGGAGGTTGTAGCAAGCCATGATTGGGCCACTGCACTCCAGCCTGGGTGAAAGAGCAAGACTCTGTTTCAGATAAATAAATAAATTTTAAAAACCAAAAAATAAATATGAAAAACTGAGGAATGAAATGTCCATGGGGAGCTTAGAAAAGTTGTAACATATTCCTGAGAATCTAGAAGGCATGTACATGACCTGAAGACACTTGAGAAGGCTCTCATCTTTCACTGCTGGCTGACCCTGATGTTCTGTACAAGCAGAAAAAAATGAATGCTAAGGCACATTTATAAACTAATGCCGCGTCGAAGGGTGCCACAACACACACACACACAGACACTTCCTTAATGAGCATATAAATGAGCATATTATATCCTCCTCAGTAAAGGCTACAAGATTTATAGGTTCAAGACATTTAAGGAAATTTGTCCACTTACTAGCAGGCCACCGAGCTACCAAGCAGACGCATCACTGGTTACACAGGAAACAGTATACACACTTTACAGAAAGTCACAAAACAAATAGCAACAACAAACTTCAGGAGAGAACTGGTCAGATTTCCAGAATAGCGACATTATATGATTTAAAATATCTACTATTCTACAAAAAATTTTTGGCCAGACACGGTGGCTCATGCCTGTAACCCCAGGACTTGGGGAGGCCAAGGTGGGTGGATCATGAGGTCAGGAGTTTGAGACCAGCATGGCCAATGTGGTGAAACCATGTCTCTACTAAAAATACAAAAAAAATTAGCTGGGCATTGTGGCGGGTGCCTGTAATCTCAGCTACTGAGGAGGCTAAGGCAAGAGAAACACTTGAACCCAGGAGGTGGAAGTTGCAGTGAGCCGAGATCACACCACAGCACTCTAGCCTGGGTGGCAGAACAAGGTTCTGTCTCCAAAAAAAAAAAAAAAAAAAATTGTGAGACACAAATAGGAACAAGAAGCTCAGATGAGGAAGCCCAGATGTTGGATTACTAGACAAGGGCTTTAAACAAGCTACTATAAATAAGTTCAGAGAACTAAAAGAGATCACATCTAAAGAAAGTTAATTATGAGGATGATTTCTCACCAAATAGGAATTAAATCTTTACCAAGAAAGGGATAGAAATTATTTTTTAGAAAAGAACCAAATGAAAAATTCTGGAGTTGAAAAGTATAGGAACTAAAATAAAAAATTTACTAGAGAGGGTCAATGGCTGACCTAAGCAGGCAGATGAAAGACAACAATTACCCAGTCTGAAGAACAGAAAGAAAACTAGTGAAGAAAAATGAACACACCCTCAGATTTGTGGGAGATCATCAACCATACAACATATGCATAATAGAAATCCCAGGAGAAAAGAAAAAAAGGAAAAAGAATAATAGTTATGGAAAAAATGGCTGAAAACTTTCCAAATTCAATGAAAAACACAAATCAACACCTCCAAGGAACTCAATAAACATGAAAAAGGAAAAACTCAGAGATCTCGCATAGACACATCACAGTAAAACTATCAAAAGCCAGAGACAGACCATCTTAAAGGTAGCAAGAGAAAAACAACTCATCACATACAAAATCCTCAATATAAACAGCAGATTTCTCGGCTGTGCACAGTGGCTCACGCCTGTAATCCTAGCACTTTTAGAGTCTGAGGATAGGAATTCAAGACTGGCCTGGCCAGCATGGTGAAACCCCGTCTCTGCTAAAAAGACAAAAATTAGCCAGACATTGTGGCAGGTGCCTTGTAATCCCAGCTACTCAGGAGGCTGAGGCAGGGAAATGGCCTGAGCCCAGGAGGCAGAGGTTGCAGTGAGCTGGTATTGCACCACTATACTCCAGCCTGGGTGACTGAGCAGGACTCTGTCTCAAAAAAAAAAACCCAGAAAGAGACAAGTAGAATCAGGATTACAGAAAGACGCCCTTAATGCAGCATGGAAATGTTATGTTGTGATCAGTGGTGCTACATAGCTATTCTTTTAGGAGATGCATGTCCAGACCTTGACTTGTTGGCCCAGGCTGTAGAGAGAGCAAGAAGAAAATGCAGTAGTAACAGATCCTTGGGGATCTGTTTCTATTTCTGAAATGTGAGGAGTTAAAACAAAAGCTAAGCTTTCTCTGTCTTCCTGTGGCTCCTAGGATAGCTGTGCCTCTCACCTAGCCCTTCCTTTATCTTCTCGGAACAGATGCTCCTCTAGAAGGAGAATGTTAGCAGGAGAGAGCAACAGGGTTTAAAGAGGGGATCCCCTTCCAAAGAGGTTCACCACAAATTGGATTCTAACACATGAGATAGCAGCCAAGGAGGTGTTCTGAGCCTCTAAAAAGGATATTATATGTCAAAGGTAACAGAAGATCTAGGCATCATGTCTGATTGACTTAGGGAATCTTCAGAAGAAGCCTTTGAAATTTGCATTCCAGTCCTGTGAGAAGATGACCCTGCAAGCAAGGAAGGTGGTAGAAGCTAGGAGAAGCCGTGGCCCTAAGACGGGGCTGTAAACATTGTGGTTTTCTAAGGCCACCTGGGTGCATAACTTTGGCAGCTATGATTAAATCTCCAAAAGGTGGTGAAGAACATATTCCAGAACAAAAAAAGAAAAGTCTTTCCACAGTTTAAGAATGTGGGGGACTATTGCTGGAGGAGATGGAGTGCATGGGAGAGAAGATGCTCTTTCTTCTCCAGCCAGGGGCTATGGGGTGGCTAGTCAGGTAAATCCCCCGTCATGTTCCATGTGCACACCAATACACTCAGAACAAAAGAAAGACACTTGAACAGGGTTGAGGAAGCGATTAGGCCTACATCGATTTGGTAATGTGGCTCTAAAATAGGTAGAAACTCTCTTGCAAGGTCAAGGTGACAAAACCTCTGGGGACTTCCTGGTCAAGCCATAGCTATCAGCCTTAAGGAAAGACTACCAGGCCTTGAGGAAAGGCCAGGTGAGTGCAGGCCCAAGTCCCTGCAGCTGCAAGCCCTGAGCCTGACCCTGAGGTGCAGCCAGGGAGACTGGAGTGGCAGCTCTGTCCCCTGGGAGCTGTGCCTCAGGACTTGGTCCTCACCTTGGCAGATTCTGGGGCAGTCAGCAGCCCCTTCAGGGATCTTACTCCCAGAGCTGCCAAGCAGGGTGGACATCCTCCCTGATGGGACTCTTGCCTACCAGGGCTACTCACCACCATGTGACCTTGAACTCATAGATGGGGCGCTTGCAGTAGTAGTGGTCCATGAGGTGCTTGTCACACACCCCGATGCACTGGTGGTCTACAGTGAGGCCCTGGGCTGAGAGGTCCATGACCAGGCAGTGCAGCAGGTCATAAACATCAGCCACAGCCTCCCAGGGCCCAAAAGACACATCCACTTCACAGTGGTACTCAAAGAGCTGCCTGTCACTCTCACTCCGCTCAAAGCGCAGGGAGTTGAGGAGCGGACACTCAAACGGGGTGATGGGCATCTTCTCCTTGAAGACACAGACCTTGAGCTTGGCAAAGCGGGCCTTCCACTGGACCACACGCAGCTGGGCAATCTCCACAATCCGCTCCAAGTGGTCTATGAGGGTGAACACAACGCCCATTACCGGGGTGAAGGGGCAATTCAGGCCGGCAGAGATACACAAATAAACAGTCCTGAAGATGGCAGGATGCAGGAGGGGAACGACAGATTTCCCAGGGGAGGGACCGAGGGGACCAATTAAAGGCACAAACTTAAACAAGGGTCATGGTTCTGCACAGCAAAGGGAAACCAATGGGACGAGGGCTGTCCTGAAACACAATTTGCTGACTGGGACGGACAGGCCAGGTAGGCCCACCTTAACCTGAATCTCTCTAGCTTGACTGTCATAGGCAAGGTAGGCACACCTTAACCTGAATCGCCCCGCCTGACTGGGAGCGAGGATACTCCCTCCCATCTTGAGTAATCTGGATGAATGCTGCCCTCAGTGTTCTGGTAGAGACCTAAAGACTCGCAGATGCCTTGTACACCTCCTTCCTCATACCCACCATCCTGGGCAGCTGACTCTCACCTTTGTAATAGGGCATGAGTCCCAGAAATGCCTGGCGCACCTTCTCGCCCTTCAGAGGCTGCATGTTCTCCAGCTGCTCCAGGAGGGGCCCGATGGCATAGTACTGGGCCTCTTTGTACACAGCCTGAACATGCTCCCTGGGTGGCAGGTCCCCTGAGCGCAGGAAATTCAGCACATCTCTGAGCAGGAAGGAAAGAGTGTCAGTGAAATGGAGCTCATGCTCCTGGGCAGTGCCACACAGTGGTTGGACAGAATCCAAAACCAGACTGCCAAAGGTGTTACACTGGGTAAGTGAACTTAACCTCTCCATGCCTCAGTTTCCTTGTCTGTAAAATTGGAGAAAACAATAAAACCTCATAATGTATTAGGGAATTAAGTGCTTAGAAAATCCCTGGCACACAGTAAAGCTTCAATAAGTGTTATTAGTTGCTGTTATCAATAGGCAACTACAATTACTATTATTAGGTATAATATTAGGTATTATAGTTTTAAAACTGAGGTGAAATATTCAATACATGTATAAATATTAACTGTACAGTTCAATCTTTTTTATAAGTATGAATACACCCATCCAGCCACCACCTAGATCAAGATAAAACATTTCCATTCCTTAAAGTTTCTTGTGCCACTTCCCAGTAAATCCCTACAGAAACAACCACTCTAACTTCTCCTCCTATCATTAAAGATTAGTTTTGCCATTTCTTGAAATTCATATTAATAGAATTATATAGTATGTTCTCTTTCGTACCTGGCTTCTTTACTTCAACATAATGTTTTTGAAATTTACCCACCACATTGTGTGTACCAGTAGTTTTTAAAAACTGATTATTATTATTTATGTAAGTATACGTTTACACGAATATACTATAATTTATTACCCTGTTGTCTTGTTGACAACAGGTATTCTTACATAAATAATAATAATAATAAAATAATAAAACAACCCCAAACTGGGTTGCTGCCAGTTTTTGGCTATTACAAGTAAAGCTGGGATGAACATTCCTATGTAAGATCGTCAGGCTGGGTGTGGTGGCTCACGCCTGTGATCCCAGCACTTTTGGAGGTCGAGGTGGGAGGATCACCTGAGCTCAGGAGTTGGAGACCAGCCTGGCCAAAACGGTGAAACTCCATCTCTAGTAAAAATACAAAAATTAGCCAGGTGTGGTGGCACACACCTGTAATCCCAGCTACTCGGAAGGCTGAGGGGGGGAAACTGCTTGAACCCGGGAAGTGGAGGCTGCAGTGAGCTGAGATCATGCCACTGCACTCCAGCCTGGGTGACTGACACTTCATCTAAAAAAAAAAAAAGGATTTTTAGTGGACACAAGCACAAATTTCTTTTAAGTATGAGGAGTAGCATTGTTCAGTCATAAGTTAACTGTGTGGTTAACAAAGTGGCTGCTGCATTTTACATTCCCACCAGCAATGTAGAAGGGTTTTTGGTGTTCCCCATCCTTGCCACTAGTATTACTCTGTAGCTATCAACAGCAGATAAAATGCCTAACCTTAATGTCTGAACAAACTGGTTCCAGGGCTGAATAAAATCACATATTACATTTTCTTAAAAAAAAATTCAGTCTTTCTAATTCACTTTACAAATCCTGTTTTTTTTTTTTTTCTTTTTTTAAGAAATAGGGTCTTGTTCTGTCACCCAGGCTGAAGGGCAGTGGTACAATCATAGCTCACTGCAGCCTCTGACTCCTAGGTTCAAGCAGTCCTCTTGCCTCAGTCTCCTGAACAGCTGAGAACACAGGTGCGAGCCACCAGCTTTTTAGATTCTTTAACGCTAACAGTCATCAGATAAATCAATGGTACAAGTGGAAAAGAGTGAGTAAACCTGAAGATTATGCTGCTACCTCATTAAGAGCTTAGTCTATGACCTAATACAACACCAGCTAACACTCGCTAAGTATTACTATTAAGCATTAATCAGATCCAGCCATAGCTGACTCTACACCCACATCCACCATGGTCCAGCTTCAGCAGAGGCATTTAGACCAGAGTGTGACAAGCCGATGACAAGACAGACCCCAGGTGGAGGCCCAAGCAGCCTTCATGTTAGGTGCTTTTGGGTACATAAGCTGCACAGCAAGAAATGCACCTTGAAGAATGCCCTGAACCCCCTATTTTATCTGGGTCATTCAACAACTTCATCTGCGCTGATGAATCACAGGTCACAGGAGCTCATCAGCCAAAGTATGAATAGCGCCATCTCCTGCTTTCTGCCATGTCCTTGCCTGGCGCTGTCACTCTCTAGCTGTGGCCACCTGGGCACAGGCAATTCCACCTCAAATCAAACTCGGATCCGCCTCCCCAAAATCCCTTCTAGATCTTCAGCAAACCTTGGTGAGCTCTGAAAAACAAAACTCTGGGGAAAGACCCAGCTAAGAGTGCTGTGGGAGCCGCCAGCTGAGGCCAGCACTTTCCTACCCCAAGCAGCCTGCAAACAAACATCTTTTTATAGTTCTGCAGAGCAATGTGACACTTTGTTTTCTCAGCACTGAGGCAGCTGATAGGCCACTGGGGAAACCCAGATGCATCCAAGCAAGTTATCTGACCAGGGGCTCCTTTCTGAGAATAAAAATGACCTTTCCCAAAATGTGGGCAATGCTACTTGGAGGCCAGCTCAGAGATGTTGTGATTGGAGTTTCTGCCTCCCTGGGCGTTTGGTTCAAGGTCTCTAGTCATCTACAATGTCAGACTGAAGGGGCTAAGAGTTCCAGCCACATACTCTGAAAAGGACATGGCTAGGGGTCACACCAAGGCTCTTTACATAACCCTCACTGACAAGCCTGTGCAGCAGCTATAATTATTTCTCATTTCACAAACACGCACCTGAGACATCAAGTCCTTCAATTGTTTGGGTGTAAGATTGTCAGAAGTCCTTTCTTGGGAAACGTTCTGTGTTCTTTTTTAGGAGACAGAGTCTCGGCCAAGTGTGGCCTGTAATTTCAGTACTTTGGGAATCTGAGGCTGGAGGATCACTTGAGTCTAGGAGTTTGAGAACATCCTGGGCAACACAGTGAGACCTCATCTCTACAAAACATCAAAAATTAGCCAGTCATGGTGGTGCGAACCTCTAGTCCCAGCTACTTGGGAAGCTGAGGCAGGAGAACTGCTTGCACCTGCGAGGTCAAGGCTGCAGTGAGCCGTGCTCGTGCCACTGCACTCAGCTTGGGCAACTGAGCAAGACAGTCTCAAAATAAAAAATAAAATAAATAAAAAAAGGACAGTCTCACTCTGTTGCCCAGGCAGGAGCACAGTGGGAAGATCATGGCTAACTGCAGCCTCCAACTCCTGGACTCAAGTGATCCTCCCACCTCAGCCTCACAAGTACCTGGGACTACAGATGAGTGCCACACCTAGTTGCTATTTTGTTGTTGAGATGGTGTTTTTCCATGTTATAGTGTTAAGTGACAGTAACAACAGAGGATTTTTTAAAAAACACTTCTTGGCAAAATTAAAGGAGAACAACCCTGTATCAGTCTTTCATCTTTTTTTGTTGTTTTAAACTACTGAAAGTCTGGGAACCACTGCTACACACCATGCTTCCTTCCTATGGCAATGCTGAGCCCCAAAATCTGCATCTAAAGGTACTCTCCAAGTTGTTTTAGACGACCCCTTCCATGTGGAATTACACTTATTCCTCTCCACACAGATGACAACTTTCTGAGTCATTTTGGAATAGTAATACTTAACATTTATGGAGCTCTTTAAACCTTTTCCAAAGATACTTCATTCCAATCCAGGTGTTTGCTCCGTATTAGAGATAACAGGATTGAAGCAGAGAGGACGAAAGCCATGGAAAACAGTTTTAGAGCTCACATGGAACAATGGAATCAGTGCCGGGAGCTGGCAGTGAGGCCCTGGTCTGCAGTCTATGGTCTTGTGCTCTTTCCCTCAAACCACATCATTTCCCCAATGACAGTGCACAAAAAACAGCACCCCTGTGACTGATGACTTTTTTCAATTGCAGGGATTACTTCTAAATTTTTGCTAATTTTCCCATGACACTGTGTGTATAGAGCTTGCTATCCCAGCACAACACCGTCTGCTTCCCAAGAGTATTACCTAGCCCAGCCCACGAGGGCTTCTATCCATTGCCCTGGGACTCCACATACCACATGCTCCTGGATCTGGCACTACCTTGGTCCCTGCCTCCTAGGAGCCATGTTCGGTGTTCAGTAATGCTTCACCTTCCCTCCTCTTTATTTTTTATTTGTAGAGATGGAGTCTCACTGTGTTGCCCAGGCTGGTCCCAGACTCTTGGCCTCCCAAAGTGCTGGGATAACAAGTGTAAGCCACCACACCCAGCATTTTTTCCCTTCTCTTGCTTTTACTGTTTGTTTGTTTGGAAGTAGGGTCTTACTGTGTCACCCAGGCTGGAGTGCAGTGGCACAATCATGGCTCACTGCAGCCTCAACCTCCAGGGCTCAAGCGATCCTCCCAACTCACCTTCCTGAGCACCTGGGACTACAAGCGCACATCACCACGCCTGGCTAATTTTTACTTTTATTTTTGTAAAGGCAGAATCTCACTGTTGCCCTGGCTGGGCTCAAGCAGTCCTCCCAGCTCAGCCCCACAAAGTGCTGAGATAGATTACAAATGTGAGCCACCATGCCTGGTATCTTTTCCTTTCTCTTGTCATTTCAGGTGCTGACATGATAGTATCACACACATTAAGTAAGACCGGTGGAAGCCCCGGCGCATCAGCACAGCAGCCTGTCTGTGGAAGCCATGGGGTGCCCGCTGACCATGGACACATCTATGAACTGGCCTGCCCCTTATTTGCAGACAGCGCCTTGCCCTGTTCCGTAGGCAGCTGAAGAGTAGGTGTCAGCGACCACTAAGGCATCCTGCTGGATTCTCTAGAAAACATCTTTTTCTTTTCTTTTTTGTATTCATCCAACCCGAAATGCCTTTTTTTTCCTCCCAGTTGTAGTAGGGACGGGGCCTCGCTATGCTGCCCAGGCTGGCCTCCAACTCCTGCCCCCAAGGGATCCTCCCTTCCAAAGTGCTGGGATTACAGGCGCCAGCCACCACGCGTGGTCAGACACCATCAGCTCTGGCGGGGGAGGGGCGCAGGCGGGCGAAGGGGCCGCAGGTCCGTGGGCCCCGCCCCCAGCCTGGAGCCCCCCCACCCGCCAAGGTCAGCTCTGCCTGGCCCCCGCTTCTCCCCCGGCCCGCTGTGCACCCCTGGTACCTCTTGGGGCAGCAAGGGCAGCCCGTGTCCCGGCGTCGTGGCCAGCTCCGGAAAGCCGTCTTCGGCGTCGAAGCTGGACATGGCACCGTCCTGGCGACTGCTGTCGGGCTCCCGCCCCGTGGCGACCACCACCCCTCTGGCTCTGGGCAGCGGGCTCGGCTGCCCTGGGCACTCCCTACCGCCGAGCAGCGCCTGGCATGACGCGGCCGGCTGCGGGCGGGCCTGAAGGGGCGAGAGGCAGCGCGCGGGCGGGAAGGCTGCGGCGTCCTTAGCGTGACGCGCTCACGCCCGCTCGCCGGCCGCCCCGGCCACCTCCTGCTGTTGGCTGAGGCCGCCCTGATTGGCAGGAAGCTCGCCCAGTGGAAGAGCAGGCAGCGCATGCGGCGGGCCCTGAGTGGTTCCTGAGCGGCGGCCCGCTGGCCTGACGTGCTCTGATTGGTACTTTAACCAGGGGCGCGCCCTCTGCCGGAGACCGGGCGGTGCCGCGCCGGCAGCCTCTCCTAACGGGACTCTTCAAGTTGTCCGTGAGGACAGTGACGCTCTACCCCTTCACACAGGGCTTACGACTTACTCCTGCGTCTGTCCCCAAGACAGCGGGTCCCTGTCAATGGAGGCCCTGAGCAGCGTTTCCTGGAGGACGTGGCGGGAGGAGGGCTGGGGTGGCTGCGGCCCCGCGACCGCGGCG